ACTGATAATAATAGTCTTCATTGCCTAGAAAAGCTTTATCTATATCCTTTTCGTCAATATTTTCATTTTTCAAATTTTTCAAACTTAGGAATTATTTCTTATAGCTTTATAAATGAATTTTTAAACTTTCCGAAGCTTCATCAATTTTTTTACTAGCTTTTTATTTAAGACTTTTTTGCAATTCGTCAGACATGTCTATAAACAACTTTAAATCTATATTGTATTGCTTATTTATTATAGTATATCCGCAACATAATCGGGAACTCTAATTTTAATTCCTTGTATGGTAGTTTATAACCATTTTTTCTAGGAACATTTAAGTATCCAACATGAAAAAAATATGAAAATAGTATATCAATTGTAGATAGATTAATCGCATAGTTAAGTCTTAGCCTTTATTTAGTATCATTGAGTCATTGGAACTAATTTGCTTCTGTAAGTCAAAATATAAAGATTCATTGTTTAAAAAGAAGACTATTTTGTTCCTTATTGACAGTAAATTAGTTTTTTATTTTAAAATCAATATTTTCGTTTTTTACCGAGTAACTTTGTAAAATTTTAAAATTACATTTAAATTTTTTCGAGCAATTAACTAAGGAGCATGGGTTGTATAACTTAAACCCATTAAGTATATAACCATCATAACAATATTTTATACCATTACTTAAACTGAAACAAAATTCAATTTTCAATAGCAAAATTCAATTTTCAAAAAGTAAGACATACCCTAATTGGTATGGAAGGAGCGGTGAACATCCTAGTTAAATGTTCTTGCCCATAGTCAAAGCGGTTTAAAAATTAATGCAGTTCGAAGTTTCATAAAACGTTGACATGGTCATTATTCAAAGTTTCGATGTTTCAATGTAGCAACTTCATGGAGTTTTTTTTTTTGAAACATCTTCGCTTCCAACAAGGCTGCAAGCAACCACTATTAGAGTTGGAAGTTTCTGGAAGAGCAAAAATAAAGATTGTTGAGCAAGATAACGATTGACAGACGACTTAAGTGATTGCAAATTATATGAATCAGGAAAGCAAGATGAAGGAAGCAAATTCTAAAGAACCGATGTTCAAGGAAAAAAACTAGAGGAATAAGAGTTTTTGGAGCACTTAGGAACAGTCAAATAAAAAGGATGAGACTTTATTGAATGATTAGTAACACGAGAATGAATTTCAGTAGATGATGGCACAAGAGGCGCTAGTTCTTTAGAGCAGTGCATATTATGGTATTTGTAGAAAAGAAAAAGAGAAGCAAAATTTTGACCATATAATTATGTTTGGAGGTTGGCTTCAAGAGCAGGTCCAACTACGTTTACAATGCGTTTTTGCATCTTGTCTAAAAGAGAAAGAACATCATTAGAAGATCCGCCCCAGATATCGCACCAGTATTCCATACAAAAACGGATTTAAGATTTATAGAGATAAAGAATAGAATCCGAAGTAAATAAGTATTGAGCTCGATAAAGAGATGCAACTTTAGCAAATGCTAATTTTGCAATAGATTTGATATAGGGTTTCCAAAAATAATCGAAAGTAAGAGTTAATCCTAAAAGAAGAAGGGTCAAGAATTCATCGAGCACATTACCGTTCATAAATAAAAGAAGATCTAATTTATTGCTATAACGATTGGCTGAAAAAATTGAGCTTTATCAAAATTAAATTTCACCAGCCACTGTGAGCCCCATGCTGTAGCACAAGTGAAAGCCTTTTCAAGCTCAAATGCCAAACTTTATTAAAAGCTTTAGAAATATCTAGAGCAATAGCCTTAACCTCCCCACCTTTATCTAATGCACAATAAAACATAATGGTTATTATTGTTTGCAATTCAGCTGTAAAACGAAAAAATCAAAATCCATATTGGTAATCAGAAAGTAAGTTAATGTATTCAAGATGAGAGATTAAGTGTTTGTTAATTAAAGATTATAATTAAACCTTGCTAATGATAGGAAGAAGACTAATGGGACTGTTGTTAGATAAATCAGATCGCTCTCCAGAGTTTTTGAAAATAGGGATAACAGATGCTGCTTTCCAGCAGGCTGGAAAACACGACTCTGATCAGCTCTTGTTAAATAGTTTTAAAATTATAGACGACAGCTCCGGAGAACACTTCTGCAAGACTATAACAGGTATGTTGTCCGGAGTACAAGCTGTAGAAGAGTCTAACCAGGAAATCACTTTAGATACTGTAGCTGGAGTAATACAAATGTCAAGTAATGGACCAACCTGTTTGACGGCTATATCATATAGAACTCAACTAGTGAAATCAAAAGATGATATTGATGAAAAAAAAGTACTCTAGGAACATTCGATAACGCAAATTCTGTATTTTTGAGCACGAAGTCTCTGGTTAATCAAGGCTTATATTAGTATGTTATAATTTTTTACGAAAGAAAAACTGTTTTTATTTACTGCAAATACAGTCGAACTAATTTAAAACTCAATCTTCGTCTAAAAATCACGTCTCAAAATCATCTGCTTTAAAAACGATTAAATTTTTGAGAAGCAAAAGATCAATATGCAACGAGCTTATGACGTAAAGTTTTTTAAAAATGGTTTATACTTATGATTTAAAGTTTTTTGAAAATGTTTTATACACCTATATACTTTCAATGAACTAAAAGATTTCATGGGTGGTTTTGCCTAAATAAAGATATCTTTAAAATAAAATTACTTTCGACAGAATAAAAAACTACTGTTAGAATCGGTAGCAATTTAATAAATCGAGTTTTTCAATTTTGGTTGGTCTCTGGTAGTTGCTAAATATTTAAAACTTGTGTCTTTGTAAACCCTGAATTCAGATATCTAACTTATTTTAGCTAAAAAGTAAATTTATTATTTAAATTAAATTATTTAATACCTTTAAAAAACAAAAATAATTTATATATCAGTTTATACATCAAATAAAAAGGATATTGCAGTTTCTCTCAAAAAATTTTACGTATCCCCTACATATCACCAGCCGAGAACCAAGAGGCCATATATCCAGTTTTGACTTTTTTTTTGTTTATTACTAAAAAATCTTCTCTATGATGAAATCTATGTTTTGAGTGATTCTAGTCACAAAGATCATAAAACTTAGGGTTACATTAAAAGAACCAGAAGGCCGTATGTCCAAAAAAACGACGACTGTTGTTATCAACTGGCCGTTTAACAGCGTAACCAAAGCCAAGACTTTGTTTACGCTGTTAAACAACAGCGTAAACAAACAGCTAAAATTCTATTTCGTATCAATAAAATGGCGTAGCATGAAACTACTGATGAAGTCTCTCAAAGTTACGAATATAAATATAGAGCTCTCTAAATTATAAAATCACGAATTGTTTAGACTAGTCAATGCTTAATACTTAGTTTATATTTAATATATTATAATTGCTAACATTGTTATTATTATTATTTAATATATAATATTTAACAACTTAGAAACTTAAAGGAACAAGATTACATTCAATTACAACATAATCTTCAATTCAACTACTCTAAATCTATCACTTACGTTTTTACGTTTTATACGTGTTTACAAAGAATTTTATCTATGTACAATAATAATAAGGAACAGAATATTAATTAGCAAAGAAGATATAAATCAAAGCATATATTTGAAACAGTACTCCAGGATAAGTTCACAAGCAAAATATTCGTCTCCATAGCAACGCGTTGCTATGCAAACATTTTTTACTTGAGTTCAAAAAAACATAGATTAAACAAAAACTTATAAAGAAATGTTTGATTTTTTTTGCAGATTCAAAATCTGCATAAAATTTTGGTCTAAAATTATTAAAAAAAAAAACTCAAATTTTTAAAAAAATGTGAGGATAGTTGCCCCTTAAGATACAGTTCATGAAAACTCTCACCTAGTGGTTTCTTATAATTCAACATCTAAGTTGTGGAAAGCCTAAGAACATTTTTGGATGTTTTATGGTTTATGATTTCTATAAATTTACAATTATTTTTAATTAATTGCTATCAAAATGCCTAACAATTAATATTTTTTATAAATATGTTAAGAGGTTTTTAAATGATATTTTTATGGGATATTTGTGGATTGTTATGTAGTATAAATTTACATGAAATATGAAAAGTGTAGAGTTTTATTTGATGTGATAGAAGAGTTTGATTTAGAGTTGAAATAAAATAAAACAATCATTTGATGATTGTTTTATTTTATTTATCATCATATGATATTTTATAATTTTATATTTTTATATTTTATATTTTATTTATCATTACGTGATGATTGTTTTACTTTATTTATCATCACATGACTGAACATAATAACGTTGATTAAACAAAATTTTGTTTATTTTCCGAAGGTTCATGTGAGGATCATTTAAGATCAAACTGGATTATTTAAATGCGACGAGTTAACACTAGTGTTTGCTGATGGTTTTACCAAAAAATATGTAATTCTAATATGGATATTAGAATTTCTATAAAAAAAAACAAAAATAAAAAACAAACAAAAATAACATTCATGTATGTACTACTGCTTCAAATATTCGAATTCATATATTTCGAATAATCGAATATTCGAATTGATTTATATATAAATTTCGAATACAAATTTCGAATACGAATTTTGAGTAGGAATTTCGAATACGAATTTCGAATACGAATTTTGAATGTTCGAATTCATATATAGGTAGTACTGCTTCGAACGAGATTACTGGTGCAACAAGTACCAGATGTCCTAGTTTTATACTTTTGACTGCATGTCATTTTTTTTAGTTAGTTATTCATTTGTACATACGTAGAAAGGTTAATAATTAGCTTTTTTGTCCAAATAGACTAAAAATTTTTGACAAAATTTATTTTGAAATTTTAATTAAAAATGGCTAACATTTTGGGAGCCATTTTTTTTTTTTCACAAACATTTCAAATTTTTAACTTTCTAATTCCAGAGTTTAAAAATAATTTTCTGGGCTACGATTAATTTCTAAAAAGGTTATGCTTAAGAGCAATAAAACTGAACTTATAAATAAAGAGTCTAACAAAAAAGAACAATCTCTTTATTTATCATTTATTCTTTAAGACTATCAATCCTAAAATCAGAGCAATACTGACTATTGCATATACATTCGAAGAATCAAGCGATGCAAAATACGCTTTAACTTTACCAAAAAACGAACTATTTTCATTTGAAGGGTTTTCATTTGAAGGGTTTTCATTTGAAGGGTTTTCATTTGAAGGGTTTTCATTTACTACTTCTCTTTCCACCTTTTGTAAAATTTCATTACCAAATGAAATAGCTTTTTTATCTTTCTGAATAAGTTTCCAAATGTCTTCACAAAGTTCTTTAGCGTTGCTTATGATAGTTGCTACATCTTGACATATCTCTAAAGTATTTCCTGAACCTCTACGTAACCGCAGTGCACAAATAAACGTTTCACAAACCTTTAAAGTATATTTTTTGACCAAAACCAAATTATCGCCACGGTTTGATACGTCTGTATTGTTAACTTTTGTTTTTAAAAATTCAATGCATTCGATTGATTGGTTTATATCATTATTACTCATAAACTGCAGTCTTTCAGGTGTGAAATTTGGAACAGATGTAAGAAAGTTATTTGATAGCATAAGAGCTAAATCCATTTTTTCTTAAACTTTAAAAAAAATTAAAAAGTATTATGAAATGCAATAAAATTAAAGTAATAATATTTATTCGTGTATTTAAATGTTTAAATCGTTAATTAAATTTTACAATAATAAACCTTTTAAAGGTTAAAAAAATGTAGTTTGTTGCAAAATTGTTCTAATTTTTAACAATAGAATATAACTTAAAAATAAATATGAAATTTTATATGAAATTTTGGTGACGTAAAGGCTTTAAATAGTAGTTGAATGTAATTTAGTAAAAACATCAACTTTTAGATCCATAATGGCAAATAGATTAATTAAGATTTTAAAACTAAAAAACCTATCAGAATTACTCAATTCATTTTATCTCTGATTGATAGTAAAATAACAACAACTTCATTCAACGAATCTTTTTAAAAAAGCATAATAAAAAGAGACATTTTTTATCACTTCCCTGTTTTTATATCTATTAATATTAAAACATCACTTTAAACTAATAAAGTTTTTGTTAAACGTATTTTTAATGAAAATTTTTCAATGTGAATGCTGAATAAATGTTGTTCAATTATTCGAATTATCCAACAAATTATATATTATTCTCTAACAATAAAATTTATTGATAAACAATAATATACAAATTCTTGATTTAATCGAATAATTGAACAACATATTTATTCAGCATTCAGGTAAAAAATTGAATTTAATTCAATAATATTATGTATTAATTCCAAATACGTCATAATATAATTCATTTGAACTAGTTTTTTAAGTTGAAATGCGCTTTCAAAAAGATGAGTTTAAATGCGCTTTTAAAAAACTAAAACCCAACAAATCAGTTGGCGCTGATGAATGATACCAATCTAAATATTTATTAAACCATTTGAAGTTATAAAAGATATACTTTCTAAAAAAAATTTTATGTTCTATCACACGGTCGTTTAAATGTGGAAAGTTATTATACGCAAGCGCAGTGTCAAATTCAAATATTATAATTTTAAAGATGGTGACGGCCTTTAGATACCAAAATTTTTTCTGAGTAGCAACAATATTTTTAAAGTTTTACTTAGTAGTTATTATTTGCATATTTTTGATAGAATGAAATAATAATAAAGATAATTGAATTGTTGATTCAAAAATGATCAAAACAATATAAAGATGTTTAAATATATAAAAAACTGTGATTCTCTGCTACATTTATCTGACTGTTAAAAGCGTGATTTGTTTACATGTTCAAAACTGTTTTTCTAAAAATCTGAGCGATAGAATTAAATAATTTTTACTTTTTTATTTCGAATAGTCTTGTCTTGATTTGAAATTGTTTTCAGATCTGAGTATTCAATTTTTTTCTGAACAAAAATAGAATTCACCCAACACTACTTTTGTAGATGTATGATACATTTATATTAAGGTATATAGCTAATATATATATATATATATATATATATATATATATATATATATATATATATATATATATATATATATATATATATATATATATATATATATATAATTATATGTGAATGATTATAATATAAATTATAATATATAATTATATATGAATGACTATACAATAAATGCAAAAAAAAAAAAAAGGCTAAAAAGTTCACAAGTTACTTATAAAGTATGTAAGATAAAATATTTATATATAAGTTAAATATAAATGTATTATATTACATAGTTTATATAGCTATAATTTATATTTGTTTTTATAATATAGGTAATATAAACTATAAAATATAGTTTTTATAATATATCATAATCATTTAACTATATATTATATACAATTTGTATCCAATAAATTTGTGTGCATATTATATTACAACACGATTACAACAATTGTATGCAAACACAATTAATGCATACAAATCAAACTCTGAAAAATAATAAAATATTAAAAATAATAATATATGTCTAAGCATAGTATACTATGTAATACAATACAGTATATATATATATATATATATATATATATATATATATATATATATATATATATATATATAAATATATGTATATATATATATATGTATATAAATATATATATATATATATATATATATACATATATATATATATATATATATATATATATATATATATATATATATATATATATATACAATACATACACCATTGGCCATTAATTAGAGCATTCTTACTTATATATCCTGTTTGCTTAAAATTACTTTAAAAACTAGTTAGCTTTTTAAATATTTTATTATTTCTAATTAATAAGTATCGTGTTTTTTATTTAATGGACAAGTTGTTACCATAAAATTTCATTTGTATCCCTAATTATATGTAACTTTATAACATCAACTATATTTTTTTAAATTTTTTTTGTTCGTTAAAAATTAATGCTTACTGCTTTATTTTTAAAATTAATGTAATATTTTTTTTAATAATTTAATTTGATTTTCATTAGCATTTATTAACTCTAAATTTCTAATTTTAAAATAGTACTGATAAAAACACAAAGAAATTAGATATTGAAAAAGCCTCATAACGAGTGAAGTAATACAGCATGAAACTCCAAAATCATGGTTGAGATTCTCTGAAAAAACATGTTACAAATCTATTTTTATTTTAAACCAAGTATTATCTCCTCGTCAAATAGCCAATAAGTTAATTATTGAATATTCACATATTTGAAAACCTTATACTGAAACAGATGACATTATGGATCTGGATTATCTGGTGGGCAACACAATGAGATAAACGTTTTTAATTAATAAAATTAATTTGCTTGATGAAACACGACAGCAAGTGGTGAAATGTTATATTCTCAGACAAAATAAATGTTGAGGTAGATATGCAAAAATATGTTATTGCTTCGTGTTCTGCTATGGCGATCACCTCAAGAGTAATTTGATTTGAATTGTACATGAAAACCAACCAAGCAAGGTAATGGCAGTGTAGACTTTTGGGCCTACATGAATTATGCAGGACTTAAATACTATTAATTATTTGAAGGTTGACTTAATGCTGATAGGAACATTGAAATTTTAGATAATTGCCTTCTTCAATCCTTATTTAAGAAAGGTGGATCTGCAAAATATTGAAATGCTTTTTTTATGGTTTTTCTTTGGTAAATTATTGTTTTAATATATTATTTGAAATATATACTTAACTTTAGTCCGATTGTTTTTTTAAATTAAGATAAAATGTTTAATTATTATTTTTTTTTTGGTATCTAAATCAATATGTTTAGATCTTTTTTTGAATTTTCATAATGCATATAGATTTTACTTGTATTAAAAAAATAAAAATAAAAGCATTTTAGTTTTCGATTTAGTTGATTTTGAATTTAATGTTTTATAAAAAAATCGTGACAAAAACTATGTGTGCTCTAATTTAAGGCTTAAAAAATCTTACCTACCTCAAAAATCTAATTTAATATCATGTCGTGGATATATATATATATATATATATATATTTATATATATATATATATATATATATATATATATATATATATATATATATATATATATATATATATATATATATATATATATATATATATATATATATATATATATATATATATATATATATTAGGCCCCTGCTAAGCCTAAATATTTTGAATCAAATCAAATAAGTGATTCAAGACTTGACTCAAAAAATCTCTATTTATTTGAATCAAATCAACCTGCTTTTGTTAATAGTTTATAATGAAATTAGCTCAAGGTCATATCATTATAAATTTTCACTATCTTGAGTAATAACATTATTAGAATGTTATTACTCTAATAACATGAAGTTGTCTTGGAAATTTCAAGATACATTAAAAAAAATTTTTTTTTAACTAAACTTAATTATGGTCATGCTTTGGTCAATTCTAAATGTTTTGCAAAAAATTTCATGAATTGTTAACAAAATTTCCCCTACAAGCTAACTGCCTCTGCCAAAACATGATGACAATGACTTGATAAAATGCTTAGTTTCTCTATCTAATACTAAATAAACCTTCAGTTTTCAATTTAATTTATTTGTATTATTGTGCCTAAAAGTTATGACCATATAAAATTAACAGCCCCCTCGATTTGATCAAACTTTGCTCATTTAAATACTAAAAAAATATTATAAGGTATTTTATTAATTATTTTAGCAATAAATAGTTAAAAATGGAAAAAACTTTTAAAATTCGAATGTATTAAAATATGAAATGATTTTAACAAAAACAAAAAGTAAATATATTAAAAATTGTATGTTAGGCCGACTTCCATGGGTCTAACATACATACGTATTGAAATTCATAAATATATATATTTATATATATATATATATATATATATATATATATATATATATATATATATATATATATATATGTATATATGTATGTATATATATATATATATATATATATATATATATATATATATATATATATATATATATATATATATATATATATATATATATACATATATATATATATATATATATATATATATATATATATATATATATATATATATATATATATATATATATATATATATATATATTCTTTAGTTATGACTAGGAGTGTTTAAACTATTTATAGAATGTAGAAATTGTTTTGTTTTTTATTTGTTTATCTCTCCATTGACTTTTTGACCACAACTGCAAATACCTATATTGCATCCATGCATATATTACATACATATTTAAATAAGTATGTAATATATGCTAAAATAATTGATAAAATATACATACATCTATTATGTATGTGTGTATTAATAAAAACAATCCTGCCTGCCTGTCAAAGACACACATATATCTTTAAAAGTCATTTCTTGTTATACGATATATATATATATATATATATATATATATATTATATATATATATATATATATATATATATATACATATATCCTTAAAAGTAATTTCTTGTTATACATATATATATATATATATATATATATATATATATATATATATATAAAGTTAAAATATACTATTGTTAATCTAAATATACATCTAAATATATTTTAAAATGGTTATACGCTATCTTTTTATTATAATCAACTTTTACATAAATATATATATATATATATATATATATATTTATATAAATATATATATACATAAATATATATATATATATATATATATATATATATATATATATATATATATATATATATATATATATATATATATATATATATATATATATATATATATATATATATATATATATATATATATATATATATATACTCACATCAATGTAATTATGTATTGTGATTATAGGGTAGCCTAGCAACAGCTTACTAAAAGTTAATGTTAAAAAAATATCTTTTAATCTTGAAAAAAAATTGAATACTAATATCAGTAAACATTCTAAGAAAGATCAACAGTTTATCTATCTGAAAAAGTTAAAATTTAAAAATTTCTACGCTCAAAATTTTTTTAAAAACAATTTGAAAACGATAAACAAAACACACTAAAAAAGCTATTGCTGTAATTACATTTTATTCGTTTTTAGAGGTTTTATATTTAATTTGAAACATTTTATCGTGTACTAGAAGTTACTTTTATTATAATTTTCTTTTAATAAACGGCTAAATGCATATTTAATTGCTAAAAATTAGAAAAATAGCTCGTTGTCAATGAGAATTTTTTTTATATTCGTTATCCGAAGCCATTTTTAAAACTTTTAAAAAATGCAAACTTTACTGCGCTTGCGTATAATAACTTTCCACTTATTTAGTAAGTCTGAACGACCGTGATCAGACAATGAATTTTTCCTGATCAAATAAAAATAGCAAAGATAATTCCTATATTTAAAAGAGATTTAAGAAATGTTAGCAACTATTGTCCCATATCTATTACATCCACATTTTAAAAACCTTTGAGAGAATTTTAATTAACAGATTTTTATAATCATTTACCTTTTAACTGCTCAATTTTTTAATATTTAGCAATCAGTATAGAAACAAAACAAAAAAAAACTCAACAGAGCACGCTGTAGAGTTTAGTTTGTACACGCTCTCCACCATGGAAAGTTCTCCATTTTATAAGAAGTATAACAAGAGCTGTACCTAGCATTTTAAAAAGGGGGTAATCATCCATTTTTACTGATAAAATATATTCTTATTTTTTTATTTTGAAAAAAAAAAGATTTTTATTTAAAAAACTTTTAAAGTCATTTTTACATCTTTACCAGCAAAATATGTTAAAAGAAGTAAATAAATATTTTTAAAGAATGTAAAAACTTTTCAAAGCAACTTAACTTATGTATGTTATTTTGAATTTATATAAACTTTTAAATTCAATTGTTATTTTAACAACTATACATAGATTTTAAAAAGCATACACAAATAACAAACGAAGAATGTATTAAACACACAACGGTATTCTTAACCATTAAATTTGAATACATCTTTGATTTGTTATAGAACAATTTTTTAATCCATATTTTACAATTTTTTACTTTTTTTACTTTTTAAATCATATTTTATTTTGTTCAAAATGTTAGCAAAAACTTGGTCAGTTGCTTCCAGTACATTCTCTGTCTAAATCTTTACCTCACAAGCAAGCTTTGTGATTTTAGTGAGAAATAATTAGTCTGTATTTTTTCCTGCTTCTTATTTTTTTCTTATTTCTCATATTATTAAATAGCACTTGCCCACTGAATTTGAAAACATAGTTTCTTTATCCAATAATTTATCACCACCTGGTTGAGATTCTGCAACAAATCGAGTCTAATCGCGGAAATTCAGAGCTATAGACACTGCTATTATTTCATTGTTTTTGTTATCAAGCTTTCACAACTCTTACTTATTGGCTCACACTTAATTTCTGATAATTTATATTTAATTGTTTAATTAAATATAAATTATCAGAATTTTGGTTTTAATCTAACTTCAATTGCTGCTTATTTCCACTTCGTTTGTAATGTTGCTTGAGTTAGTTTAGCCAGTTTTCGGATTAATTTTAGATTAATTTAATTAACTAAAATAATTTAAAACTAACTTATTTTACTGCATAATTAGTAATTCATTTCAGAGTTGGTTCCGTGGTGTGCAATACTTCTCTTAAGATATCCCATTATGAATTCAGAGATAATCAAAATGATAAACTCGACTATGCGTCAGGCAACGGTCAAAATCAAAAAAATTGAATGTGAACAGTTTTTAATCTTGCACTCTGTATATTTAAAATATGGGATGTGGCATCTTGAATGTAAATTTCAAGTTATTTATAAAGTTAATGTAAAATTTTGATAGTGGTTAATGGATTTTATGTGTAAAACATATTGAAAAGTGATCATAAACTTTTAAGACCACTTTTAAAAGTGGTCAAAAAAGTTTTTGCTTTAAATGTATATATTGATTAATGATAGGATAAACACATTTTGCGCAAAACCTAAAGCTTAATTCTTTAATTTAAGTTTTATTTTGAGTAACCTGGTATCTAATATAAATTATTAATAAACGGAGATAGTTCGTCTTTTTTTTTTTTATTACTTATAAGTTCCTTCAAGAATCCATCAAAATCCACAAGCATTTTGTTGCAATACATTATTGATGTAGCGGCCATTTTGAAAAAATCGCTAAAAAAAGAAGAAATTAGTAAGAAGAAGAAGAAAATAGTAATTATCTGAAAAATATATAAATATTTATATAAATCTATAAATAAAAAAAGAAGAAATTCACTGTTAACTATTTAGTAAATAGTAATTATCTGAAAATACTTAACACATAATCTATTAAATGGCAAGTAAAAAAGAAATTGAAATTATAATGAAGGAAAAGTTCAAAGCGCAAGAAAGTTCGCTTTTAAAAATAGCATCAGGAAATGCCTCAATACAAAACGACAAAATAGATAAAATTTTACATTCAATAAAAAATATAACAAATCGTATTTCAAAAGTTGAAAAAAAACAACAAAGCTTGCAGAAATGTATTGACGATCTACAAAAAAGTATTGAGTTTACTCAAGATACCTTAATTAATGAAAAACTCGTACACTTCGAAAAAGAACTTAAAAAGTTAATGAATACGGAAATTACTAAAGTTGTAAATCAGACCGTACAGCTAAAAACAACGCAGATCGAAGCAAGCAAATTAAATGATGCACTACAAGAAAAAATTAGAAACTAGAAGATAGGAATAGAAGAAACAATATTAGAATTGACGGTGTACGAGAAAATGAAAAAGAAACACGGGATCAAACTGAAAAAAAAAGTTCAACAAATATTTAATGATCAGTTAAAAATAAGTAACATTATTATTGAACGAGCGCACCGTATCGAAAGACGCTTTAACGCAGAGAAAATAAAGAATAAACCCAGAACAATCATATTCAAACTGTTAAATTATAAAGACAAAGAAAAAATTTTGGAAAACGCAAAGATGCTGAAAGGTACAGGTATTTTTATTAATGAAGATTTTTCATTTGAAACTAACAAAAAAAGACGCGAATTAAGTGAAAAGATGAAGATTGAGCGTAACGCTGGAAAATATGCTATTATTGAGTACGATAAGTTAATAGTGAGAGAGTTTAATCTAAAAGCTAAATAAGTAATTATTTATGTTTCAAAATTTTATATAAAACCATGCATAAAAATGGAGCAAAACTCTATATTTCAATTTTCTAATGAAAATATAAATGATAATGACACTGAAACAGACTGTTTTGACAAGTTGCATTTTGAAAGCAAATACTACTCAGTTTACTAATCTGCACAATATCTTAAAAATAATAAAAACGCATTTTCAATTTTAAATATTAACATCCGAAGTCTAAATAAAAACTTTGAAAATTTAAAAATTTTATTGGACGAAATAAAACATGATTTTAGCATTATTTGTCTAACAGAAACGTGGTGTAAATGCAATAAACAAAGTACACAGTTTGATTTAATTAATTACACGTCAATTCATCAACCACGTAATAGTTATGGTGGCGGAGGCGTTAGTATTTTTGTCCACAATTCAATTGATTTTTCCCTCGTAATGACCTATGCCGTTAATGAAACAGATTGTGAGTCATTGTGCATTGAACTTTATAATAAAACCACAAAAAATATAATTGTTAATGCTATTTATAGAAAGCCATCTGGTAAATTAAAAACATTTAAGACTCACTTAAACACATTTTTAACTAAAGTCAATAAAGAACGGAAGCATATTTACGTTGTCGGCGATATCAATTTGAACTTGATAAAACAAGCTTCAAACAAAATTAAGCATTTTATCGATAAACTTCTTCAACATAATGTTATTCCAACAATAAATAAACCAACCAGAATAACTAAGAAATCTTCTACTTTACTTGATAATATAATCACTAACAATTTTTATAACAACTATATTTCCAGGTATAATCAAAACAGACTTATCAGATCATTTTCCTACTTTTTTAATAACTAATAATATAACAATTAATAATAATTCCTCTAAATTTATAATATACAGGCGGCAGATCAATAAATACTCCTTACAAAAATTTCAACACCTTTTAAAATATAACGTTGATTGGGATCTTATAATGCAATCGGTAGAGGTAAATAATGCCTATGAACTTAATAAACTAATGCCTATTTCTTAAATTTTTTTGTGAGCAATATGAAAAAGCTTTTCCGGAGAAAAAAGTTGTTATAAATACCAAGTCATATCAAGCTCCATGGATGTCTAAAGGCTTATTAAAATCTTCAAAGAAAAAAAAAAGTTGTATGAAAAATTCTTAAAGAAAAAAACGTATAAAAATGAAACAAACTACAAACTTTATAAAAATATATTTGAAAAAACTAAACAACAATCAAAAAAAATTTACTATTCAAAGTTGTTAAAAAAAACTAACGGAAATGCCAAAAGTACGTGGAGCGTAATTACAGAAATTATTGGCAGAAAAAATAATGGAATAAGTATTCAACCGAAGAAACTCTTAGTAGATGGTAAAATTATATATGACAAGTCAATATTAGCTGAAAATCTAAACAGCTTCTTTCTTAATATTGGTCCAAACTTAGCTGAAAAAATTCCTTCAAGTTCATCATCGTTTGATTCTTATTTAAAAATATATGGTAAGGTCATGGACGAATCTAAACTAGATATTGAGTTACGATATGCTCTAAATAATCTTAAAAACAACACAAGTGTAGGTTTTGATAATATTAGCATAAATGTTGTTAAATCAGTTTTTCATATTATAGAAACTCCTTTATATCACATTTTTATATCACAGGTCTTGCCTTTTTTTAAGTCTGGCGATGACACACCTTTTAAAATTACCCAATCTTAAAATCAATAATATAAATATTACTAGGCAAACAACTGTAAACTTTTTAGGTATTATTTTAGACGAAAATTTAACATGGAGGAAACATATAAACACTCTTGAAAGAAAACTTTCATTAAACATTGCAATGATTTATAAAGCAAAACCATTTTTGGATATAAGATCTCTAAAAAGTTTATATTTTTCCTTCATACATAGCTATCTAACTTACGGCAATATCGTATGGGCAAGCAACAGCTACGCTAAGTTAAAGAAAAATTATACTAAACAAAAACATGCATGTAGAATTGTATTTGGAGTAAAAAGATCTGTGCCTTGTGAGCCACTTTTACGTAAACTCAATGCATTAAATGTGTTTAAAGTTAACATATTCCTAGTCATACAGTTCATGTATCAAATAAAACATGGACTGTCTCCAGAGATATTCTATCCTTATTTTAGAGAAGTAAGCCATAAATACCCCACCAAGTTCTCAGAAAATAACTTTGTAACTCAAAAGTGTAATCTAAAAATATGTTCTTATTCTATTCAGTATAGGGGTCCAATTTTGTGGAAAAGCTTTCAGCATATTGTTAATATTAAAGAAAAAACACTTCCGCAATTCAAATCTAAATTAAGACGTTATTTAGTACTTACGGATTTTAATATAGCAGATCTTCAATGTCACT